TTACCTTTTTAAGTAATTCTTCTGTTCAGTGGATTCTTATACCTCTTTTTCCATTTGGCAGATTCTAGTTTTTAAGTTGTTATTTTCTTCAGTAATTTTTGTGCCTTTTTTACCAAGCTGTTGACTCACTTTTCTTAATTTTCTTTCTTCATTCTCATTTCTTTTCCCAATTTTTCCTTTACCTCTCTTATTTGATTTCTAAAATTGTTTTTGAGAGCCTCCAGGAATACTTTTTGGACTTGTGACCAATTCTTTTTTTTTTTTTTGAGGCTTTAGATGTAGCATTTTTGACTTTGTTGTTTTCTTCTGAATTTATGTCTTCATATTTCCTGTTACCAGAATAACTTTTTATGGTCAGATCATTATTATTATTATTATTTTTTGGTTTGCTCATTTTCCCAGCCTATTTCTTGACTCATAACTTAGTTGGGCTCTGCTCCCAGAGTGGAGGGGCACTGTCCCAAGCTTTAGGTCTTTCTTGCTGCTGTTTTCAGAGTTAGCTTTGGGGTCTGTAGGTTTTCAGTTCTTTCCAGGTGATATGATCTAAGGAGATGGGTGGTCATTATTCTTCTGGCCTATGCTCTGGTCTAAGTAACCACAAACACTCTTCTTTACCTTGGAACTGTGACTAGGGTCCCTACTTTTTTCTGCAGCTGCAGGTGCTATCACTTTTTATGTCCCTGGAATTGAGATGGGCTTCTGCTCTCCTAGGACTGCTACTGCTAGTGCTCCTTTCTGCCCGGGACCTGAAACCAGGGCCTCTGCTCCCTTGTGAGCAACCACAAGCACTTTTCTCTGCCCTAGAACCATGATCAGGGCCCCTGTTCCTTTGATGCACTGCTGCTCCTTTTCCCCCCGGAACTGTCACTGGAACTGTGTATGGACAATGCAAAAGGGTCTTGAACCCACTGCCAGCAAAGGGTTTCCTGGAATCTCTTTCTGAGGGGTTGTCCAACATCTTAGTGTCTGTGGGCTGAGAGTCCCCAAAGCTGCTGCTACTACTGATGCAGCCATCTCCAAGGCCTCCTACTGGCTTGCCAGCACATGGCTTGTGCTGCACAGGCCCGACTGCCGCTCCAGTGAGACAGACCTTTCTTGCCAACCTTCTAAGTTGTCTTGGTCTGGAAAATTGTTTCTCCCCAATCTTTGGTTGGTTCTACAACTCTAGAATTTGATTTGAGGCATTGTCTTAAAGTCATTCAGAAGGGAATTTAGGAGAATTCAGGTGAGTTCCTATCTGTACTCCTCCATCTTGGCACTGCCACCATTTTCCAGTCTTTTTCCACCTCATTCTGCTTCATGCCTTCTGTAATCCAGGGACACTGGCCTCTTCATGCTTCTGGAACATTGCATCTTAACTGATCAGTTTTGGTGACTCTCTATCAGTCTGCAATATTCTTCTTCCTCATGTCTACTTCCTAGCCTCCTCAAGTGTCAACTAAAGTCCTACTTTCTGCGAGAAGCCTCTTCCAGTCTCCCTTAATCTTAGTGCTTTCCCACTGAGACTACCCTCAATCTATCCTGTATATATCTTATTTGACATAGGTGTTTGCATGCTATCTCTCCAGTAGACTATGAGCTCCTTGAGACCAGGGACTATTTTTTGCCTTTCTTTGTATCTTTAGTACTTAGCACAGTGATAGTTGACTGACTGAAAAAGAAATCAAAACAACAATGAAGTGTAAAGCAGTTCCAAAAGATACAGAGATAAAGCAAAGTAGATGCTTTTTATGAGGCCCAACAATAGTCACAGAGTCTGAGCTGTGGCCTTCCACCTATCTCCTAGCTGTGTGACCCTGGGCAAGTCACCCAACCCTGTTTGCTTCAGTTTCCTCATCTGTAAAATGAGCCGGAGAAGGAAATGGCAAACCACTCTGGTATCTTTGCCAAGAAAACCCCAAATGGGGTCAAGAAGACTTGGACGTGACTGAAAGATTGAACAACAACAACAACAACAACAACTGACCTCCTGCGAGTCAGAGTGAAATGCTCTCAGTCTTGGATGAGACAGCAAGTTTTTTCAGGTCAAAGATCTTTTTAGAGCCTCTTTAAACACAGTAGTCTCAATGAACTACATTAGAAAGGGCACCGTTTATATCCCAAAAGAGGGAAATCAACAACATTAAATGAAAAAAGTGAGGGGAAAGTCCACATACAGGCTTCCTTGATTTTTCTCAGTAGTTTGGAGGATCAGAGATCAGCTCATGAACAGAATCAGGCTGAGAAAATCTTGGGGCTAGGAAGGAATTTCAGGTGCCATACCTTACATGACCACCAGAGGGCAAGAGAACCCCTATTATCAGGCTATCTAATAAAGTCTGGTTAGAGAAACTGTCCAACTGGTTTCTCCCTCACAAAGCAGTTGCCTTTTTATGAATTGTGTTAGGCCCTCGACATTTACACTTATGCCTTCTGAAGTTTTCTGAAGGAATTTCATGAAGCAGAATGGCAAGAAATCATATGACTCTCCCCTTCATTCTAGCCCTAGACCATATAATAGTTGATTATTGTATGAGAGTAGACAGATACAACAGGGAAAGTGTTATGTTGGGAGGTAAGAGACCTAGACTTTAGACTTTCTGACTTCCTGTGATCTTAAGCAAGTTAGTGAACAGTTAGATGGTATAGTGGATAGAGTGTTGGGCTTGTAGTAAGGAAGACCTCACTTCAAATCCTGCCTCAGATATTAGTTGTGTGATCCTGGGTAAGTCACTTAACTTCTCCCAGCCTCAGTTTTTTCCATCAGCAAAATGGGGATAATAATAGCATCTTCCTTCCATGGTGGTTGTGAGGATCACATGAGATAATATATACAAATCTTAAGTGCTGTATGAATGCTAGCTATTGTACATTGGAAGAGTAATGAACCTGGAAGCAAGTAGATTTTGAATCATGGTGTTGCTACTTAGGATCATAGATTTGGAGCTAGAAGGGGTCTTAGAGGTCATTGAGTTCAACCCCATTATTTCATATATGAGAAAAGCAAAGCTGAGAGAGGTTCAGTGATTTGCCAGAATCACAGGGCTAGTGTTTAAGGAAGGATTTGAATTCAGGTCTTCCTGACTCAAAGGCCAGTTCTCTATCCTCTGTACAACCCAGCTGTCTTGACCTTGGGCAATCACTTAGAGAATAATTTTTTCTCTCTAAGACTCATTTTCCTTATCCGTGAAACAAGGGGGTAGAACTAGATGATCTTTAAGATCCTTTCCAGCTCTAATATTCTCAATTAATTAATTAATTAATATGCTCAATTAATAGATGAGTTCTCTTTTATTTCAAGTCTGTGAGAAAAGGATGGGCACTGAAGAGATTTAAAAAAAAAAAGAAGCACTCATATACACACAAATATTTATAGAAGCTCTTTTTGTTGTGTCCAGTATCTCCAGTCTCCAAGAAATTAGAGATTGAGGGCGTGTCAAAAAATTGGGGAATGGCCAAACAGTTTATGGAAGGTGCTAGAGTACTATTGTGCTGTAAGAAATAGTGAAAGGGATGGTTTTAGAAAGACTTACAAAGACATATGAATTGATATAAAGCGAAGTGAGCAGAACCAAGACAATAATGACAATATAGCAAAGATGAACAACTTTGACAGACTCAGGAACTCTAATCAATATAATGGAATCAACTGCAATTCAAAAGGGCTAATGATGAAACGTGCTACCTAGCTCCGTATAGAGAACTAATAGACTCAGAGTAGAGATTGAAGTATGTTTCCTTTTCTTGGACATGGTTAATGCAGGAATTTATTTTGCTTGACTATATATATCTGTAAATGGTTTTTTTTTTTTGCCTTCTCAGTGACTGGGAAAAGGGTAAGTGGAAGGGAAAGAATTCAGAACTAAAAATAAAATCAAAAATAACAGCTAAACAAAAGGAGAAAAAGAAAACTCTGTATACAGCTTGTTGGGTACTTTTGATCAGTAACCAGTCAAATCAGATAGTTTCTATCTATGCCCAGAGACCTTCTGTGAATCTGTAAATTTTTTTCCATTAAGATGAAAAAACAAAAGGAGTAGAAGAAGAAGAAAAACCATGAAGAAGCAAAATAGGAATAAAAATGTAGATACCATTGAAAAAGTTGACAGGATCATAAGATCACAGATTTCAAGTCTGAAGGCACTTCAGAGGCCATCTAACCCATTTCCTTCATTTTGCAGAGGAGGAAATAGGAGTGAGTGACTCAGTGGTCCCTAGGGCCAGGCACAGCCATTAAAGCTGATGGTCTTCTCTGGACCCCAGAGGTTGAACAACAACTGGGGAAAACAGCTTGTGGTGAAGCAGAGATCTAGGAAAGAGAGGTTGGAAATAAAGAAGTACATGGGAGTGTGGAGTTTGGAGTCCAGGATAGATAGTAAGATGATGAGAGTGTTGCCAACCAGACTCATGAAGTAGGAAGTCAGTACTACCACAAAGAGGGTTTTCTCTAACTTGGGGTGGTCAGAGAAGCCCAGGAGAATAAAACCTCCTGGGGAGCTTTTATTATTCATGGCCTAGCTTTGATCTGGGCTCTGGAAAATGAGAGAGAGAGACAGAAGAGAGAGAGAGAGAGAGAGAGAGAGAGAAGAGAGAGAGAGAACTGAGATATTCCTCAAGCTTTTAAAATGCATGTTGTTCGTGCTTGTGAACTTGTCAAAACACAGCAATTAGGGTATTTTTCCATCCCTTTTCTTATTCAGTGAACCAACTGCACTTACTACCTCTGTACTGACACCTCTTCCCATAGACACAATGTTATATAATGTACAGTAGCCATCCTTTCAACTCCGTTAACTACCACCACTATCCTCTACCCTTTTGATAAGAAATTTGTAAATGTGAGTAAGAAAACTCAAGATGTCCTGATTAATTGATTGAGTAAAAGGGAGAGCATGGACTGTGTCTCCTCTTTTCCTATGTTCTGCTCTTTTTAGATGACAGGGATATTACCAAAAAATTATAATAATAAAAAAAATTTCTTTGTTTAGGAAAATGAAGTTCAAGACCCGGAGAATGTGTGTATATGATATCTGCTTGGCATTTGTTTTTCTGGGAGCAAGAATGGGAGCAGCACCATCCACACACTTTTACTGATGAGGTCTAAAGGTGAGGAGTACTGGAACCCCAAGATCACAACACGTGGGTCCTGTCCGAAAGAATTCAACCCAAGCCTTCTTTCAGCCAAAGACAAGATCTATTAAAGATCCACCATGTTGGCCAGACTCTTAAGGAATCTGAGCACCTGTGAGCTAGTGGCCAGATTGTAAAAATCTCAGCAGTGGCTAGATTATAAGAATCAGAGCCTCTTAATGGAGACAAGATGGACCTTATATACAGAAAGACTGTGGGAGGGATCTAGGAGTGGCTAAGTAGTTTGAGGTGACTGGAGGAGGGGTCTAAGGAAGATCTGAATGGGAGTGGCAGTAAGCTAGGGTGAACAGAACTCCTGGGACCTGGACAATGGAGCCTAGCTAGGATTAAGTGTGGCAATGGCTGGGGGCCATAAGGAGGGCTAGGCTAGGTCCAGGGTAACAGAATCGGGAGATTGGGTATAGCTACAAAGAAAGGCCAGTTGATGGGATTATAGCCTCAGGCAAATGGCAGAGATTTGGCCATGTGGAAAAGTCCAGGGTTTTTCCTTTTTAGGATTTAGCTCCTATCTTCATCATTACCCTGTTCTCCCTTACAACCATTCTACAAACTTGGGGCAAATGGCTAGATTTAGTCATCTGTTCTGAGCCTGAGATATAGAATTTTCCTCTTTTGGGAAGCTTAACTGGTTCAGAAAGTCTCTTTCACACTATGTGTAAACCCACTGAAATGACCCAGAGAAAAGAAATGGGAGACATGATCCATACATTTGAAAAGCCTTTGGTCTAGTTGGAGAGACAGAAGAAATACAGTAATGGGAAAAAACAGAAAGAAAATGAAAAAATTTAAAAAATAAATTGAATGCAGAGAACACAAGTTCATAAGCATTAGAGTCATAGGGGATCAAGGAAGTTCTTGGGGGAGGTGGCCTTGGTCTTTGGAATTAAGGAGAAAAGAGCTGAGACCTGCTTAGGCCAAATCTCAGAGGTAAGAGATTGAGATTGTTCCATGGGTCAAATGGGGGGTTAATGGTGTCCTGAATGCAACAGGCAACACTTAATAGTGGGGTCAATAGTAAGGTCAACTACCCCTGAGAGGTCAGCTTGGTCATAGTCTAGACTTGCCTCTAGGCAGGATTGCAATGAATGAATTCTTCACTGACTGATGACCATCAACCATGCCTTTGAAGGCCCCTTCCCCCCCAAAAAAAATATATATATGTATGTATGTATGTATGTATGTATGTATGTATGTATTTTGTCTCTGTCTCCCTCCATTCCTTGCTTGAAGGAATCTTCATTATCTAGCTATCTAATCATTTCTTTGCATACGTATCTCACTTTTTCTCTCCTCTTTTTATTTCTCTTTCTATTCTGACCTGTTTATCTCTGTATCTCTTTAGGCTATCTCTTTGTCTCTTTGTGACTTGTTTCTCTTTGCCTTCTTTCTCTTGCCTCACTCATTTAACAGGACTTTGTCTATAGTATTTGAGTGCATGTGGTCTTACATGATTCGTTTTCTCTCTTCCCTCTTTTCTGTCTTCCCCCCCCCAACTCTATTTATAGCTCTCCTCAAACCATCTCACCCAGGGATTCTTGTCTGTTCCATAAATTGGAGACAAAACCTCCTTTTTGCTTACTGCCAAACTTACCCCTCTTAGGCAACCAGAGATCAAATTTTCCACTTACTCTGAGTCAGTGACAAAAATCTCCTAGGTGTCTTGCTGCTGGAGCTCCACTATGAGCCAAAGAGCTCTCAGCCCAGTGCCTAGCTCCAATTAACCCATTAAGATGAGAATAGAAAAGAGAATAAGGGGAAACTGCTATAAACCACTTTTTCAGAGGCAATGGGGGTTATAGTTTAGATAAAACTTAGGGGGTTCTTACTCAACAAAATCTCCCTGGTCTGGGTAGTTTGGTGCAGATGCAAGGGGTTGGGGACTGGCAAAATCTTAAGTAATGGTTGACTTCTTGATTGGTGGGGAAAAGGCCTCAAATTTAGAGTAATGGCCACCTTACAATCTCACCAGCTAAGCAAGAGGAAATGAAAGGCATGAAAGAGACTTCATTGTGGTATTAGAAGGAGGTTACAGTGATTGAGGAGGAACAGATCCCTGATCTCTCATCCCCTGGAGAGATGTAGCTCATTAATTCTTTGAAGACCCTAGGGAGGGTTTGGGATGGGTGCAGAATCTAGGGCCCAAGTCAGCAATTAGCTTCTAGGGCTCTTGATGAGGGTGAAGAGAGAAATAGCTCAGGGAAATGAATAGCAAGGAAGCAATTGACAATGCCAGATAAAATTGGTTATCTTTTGCCTGATAGCAAAGACCAGAACATCCAGATTCCCTCTGGTTTCCCTTTCTCATACACTTGAGGAGCCCGTGAATCTTTACTCCTTGCTAATCCTTTCTAAGTTTTTAAAGCCTCCAGTATCCCTCTCTTCCAGTCCTTTCCCTTGAGAGGTAGGGAGGATTTTGTGGTGTGTGGGGAGAGGAGGAAGGGAGTAGTAGTAGGTTCTTTGAAGTAAGTCAAATAATTTTCATTTTCTATCCAGATTGTCAGGATCAAGACCTTGGCAGAAAAGATTGTTTATGCAACTATCCAGAGTCCAGAGGAGCTTTCTGACCAAGCTTTATATTCGTGGAATTATGAAGGCTACATCTTAGAAATTAAACTGGTCAGGAAAAGGGCATTATAAGTGAAGCCTTTTATAGACAGTTTTACTTCAATGAAATGACCAGGTGTAAATTAGCTTAAAGTCAAACTCAGGGCTCCTGCCTCCATCCAGACTTCCTCCTGTCATACCATGGTATTGCAGAACTTCTGAAAAGTCCTATCGTTTTATAAAACTTTTTCCTAGATATGCATGAATGGGAGTGGAAAAAGGCAACATCAAGGGGTAGGGGCAAGACTAGAGGTAGGCAAGGTAGGCGGCTTCCTACAATGAACAAAAGACATGCAGGGGGTACACTTAATAGAACTTTTAGAAAAAATAAATTTTTATTGACAGTTTTTAAATGTCTCCTCATTAAGGGCATATTCTTGCAAGAGATTTTTTTTAAAGAGAATAATAGTTTAGCAAAAATAGCCATCTATGAACACGTATGAACACACTCTGAATTTTCCACACCTCTAGTCACCTACTTATGCAGCGGAGGGTGATGCATTTTCTCATTTGTTCTCCAGGGCCAGTTTTAGTCATTATTTTATGTCTTGTCAACCTCCAGAGTTTGGGCTAAAAAACAAGCAGAATTAGGGTGTATTCAAGTTTATTTCGTGAGTGGGCATGCATATGAATGCATGGGAGCTACAATCAGCAGCTGAGCTCAAAAAAAGGTTTAGCTGAAGCAGATTCTATACCTATAGAGTGAGGAAGTGTTCTCTCCTCCCTCCCCCTTGACTCAAGATGCCTGTGTTTTTGGTTAGTCAGGGTTATGGTTCCCAATAAGCAAGGAAGTATCCCTGACTCAGGATGTCTGTAGTTTTGTTAGCCAAGGTTAAAGTTTGATTTCTTATGATTTATGATTTCTTATTTAAGGCAAGAGAATACCCCCAGGATGTCTGGATTCTGTCAGCCAAAAACAAATGAATGTCATAAAACAAGAGAGCATCATAATAATGGGGTGGTGGGACCTGGACCCCAAAAGGCAAAGACTCTGTCTCTGGAAGCATCCCTAATCTTGGTGGGCCCCTGTGAGAAAATTCTCTCCTTGTTACAGCCACATATAGAGTTAACCTTGTAATTCCTTAGATAAAGGCTAGCAGTACAGACACAGGGGTGCTAACCCAGGAGCTACTATGCTGACTTTTTTCCTGGCACCATATCCTCAAGGACCATGCCTCTGGCAAACCTTTGTGTGAACAGAACTGTCTCGTCCCCTCAATAAAGGTATCTCTGTGCACTGCCTGAATTTTCCCATTTACCCCAGAAATCCAGATCACTGACTTCTCCGCCCCAGGCACATGGCCCAACCCAGACTACTTACACCTACCTAATTAGCATACTTGGCATTCCTTTCTCTGTCCCTTTTCCATATAAGCATTATCATCATCCTCGTTAGCTTGGAAGTTCCATAAGGAACTTTGACCCCTTCTGTTGGGCCCCCTAAGAAGGCTAGTTCAGAACTAGCTTGATTTGGGATTTGGTAGTACAGGGTTATATGCCCTTCAAAGAGTAGATGTTCCCAAGGGATACCAATTAGCCCTGATTGGTTGACATACCAGGAGGTGGACTATATTAAAATGAGGTCTTGATTACATGACTTAAGTCACTGTCTTGGTCAACAGGGACTGGTATCACTCAACATCTGGACAGAGGAAATACTGATGGGGTACTTGGGTGCTTGTGTTTCGGTGCTTGTGCTTGGACTCCAATTTCTCCCTAGCCTCAGAAACACTGTCCCTGACAGTTTCTCCCCAGCCCAAGGACACTGTGCCTAGCAATTACTCATGAGTGGGCCCCAGCAAGACCCTTATCTCTTTCCCTGGTATAGTTCCAAATAGCACCTGAAGGAATTATTAGTTAACATACTACCGCCCTACCTCATTATCTACATCCTGGGCTTCTCATTATTTGTATTCTGTACTTAAGACATATGTATACTCCCTACATCTATCTTGTCAAACAAGACATTGATTGGTAGCAGACTGGACAACTCTCAGTTACCCTGAACTCTAGCTAACTTAGTGAAGTAGCAGGCCTAAAACCTCACCTCCATGTGATCCTCCTTGTGGGCTTTTCCCAGTGAACTCTTGCTAAAACGCTGTGCAGTAGGTTCAAGAAGTGCATGTTCTTTTAAGAACTGACCACTCCTTAACCACTCCCTAATCCCACCCTGAATCATCTAGTTAGCATATTTGGCACATGTTTTATTGTATTTTATCCTATATAAACTTTAACTGTGCCTCTCTAAGGTTGCAGGATCCTAAGAATCCTTGCCGGCTGAAAAGCGTAACAGTAAATCTTTGCCACCTTGACTTAAAGAATGCTTGAGTCTGCGAATTCATTCCAGAGGA